ATCAGACCTGGAGCCCATGCAGACCAAGAAGCCGTCTGCTTCAGCCGCTCCCGGAGATCCATGCACACACACTCTCTCCAGATTCCTTCGAGGTAATCCCATCAAGTTCCTTCAGCTGGACTATGTTGGTCAGAAGCGTTGTGGGTTTGGGGCGTGGGTGCCCTAGAGCCCCTTGATCCACCCTGACCTTGAACATGTCTGGGTTTCGTTTCAAGAAATCTTCTGTTTCCTCCCATTCCCAGAAGGACGGATACTCTTTCCCATCTTCCATATACTCGCATGGATCTTGGGGACTTTCCACCAGAAGACCACACTGACCCAGAATGCCATTCGCCACCATTCCCTCTCGAGATTTCTCATAGAGACCGAGAGTTTTCAACCACAGGGCGGTATCTCCATCCACCTTTGTCATTTCTCTTTCAGTTAGATCATCCAAAGCGAATCTGTGATTCCTTCTGCCACGCAAAGGGCGAGGACCTGGGATCTTATGCCTAAGACGACTCACTGTCCTGCATGGCGGTCCGGCGGTTATCATCCGGATCCGGCCCCTTTCAGCCAATCCCCACAGATACGCCCACACCCCAGCGGCGTGTAGATCTTCTTGAGCGTTCGATGAGATGTCAACGGTCAGCACCTCGGTGTCTGAACCCGTGAGATCCCGCCATCTCCTGGATTCTCCCCCGGACCCAGAGAAAAGATGGATCACCACACCACCTCGAGCTCTTTCCAACCTCCTCCGCTTTGCCCTATTCCAAGGCAAAGGGGAGGCAATTTCTTCCCAGTTCAGCCCTTGGCCCCTCATCAAAGACCAGATTCTCTCAGGGACCTGTGGATACTTCTCCTTCCACCATTCGATCTCCTGAGCCGGTGGCTCACAGTAGTCTCCCACTCCACCATTCTCAAGTGACTCCAAGAGACTCAAGGCTTCACTTCTGTCCATCACTGGACACCCTTGGCGTCTGACACACTGCAGGTTCCCATGTTTCGGGTGTGAGATGTCACAGCGATCCTTCGGCCAGTCGATCTTGAATCCGTGATCTACTAGCAGCCGCAATGGAATTATGGGTTCCACGTTATCCAGTGCCAACAGCGTATTGTGCGCTGCGCACCGATAGAGCGTGACACTTCCCATCGCCATTTCAACTTGGACTGGCCAAAGATGCGGAACTTCGGAGCTCTTCGCCTGTCGCAAAGCGTGAGTCGCCCCCCCATCTAGCAAGGCGTACTCTCCTCCGCACTCCTCGTCCATTTTCACCGTCTTGATGAATACCGATTTGATCGACGTCATGGACTTAACCAGACCGTTGAGGTTCTGCACCAAGTCACCTTCCTGCTTGGGCTGGGAACCCTCAGATCTTTTTTCCGGTTGCGGATTTTCCTCCGCTGCCTCCTTCACTACTGTTGACTCTTTTTGGCTCTCCTTCTCAGTGCTCTTCTCCCCTTTCTTATTGAGGACCTTAGCGACCTTCCGGTCACCTTTCTGTGTCCAGCCATTTCCATCTTTAGGCTTGGCTGTGGGACAATCCCTTTTACGGTGGCCTGTTGATGAGCAAAACAAGCACCTTGAGGATTTCTCCAACGTTCCCCAGGCGTGTGCGAAACCGCACTTCTCACCCCTGCGACACCCTTCGTCAGTGCCCCAGAAACGACACGGCGCTTTCTCACCTTCTGGCCTCTCCCATGGCTTCTGCCCTTCCCCCGTGAAGGCCTTGACAGCCGGATTCCCCTGCGTCAGCACCGGAGCCAACGCAGGCGGATTCGACGGCGTCGCCTTCCCAGCAGTCTGCGCATTAGCCAACTCTTCCAGCTCAGCTTGGATGTACTCGGCCCATTCCTTGACCGAACCAAGGCTTGGAGCTCTATCTACGTCCAGCTGTTGGCGCATGGTCGCCAAGCGGAATGCCACCTGACTTCCACCCAATTTTGAAGCTCCGTCAGCGAACTTCGACAACACACCTGTCAGAACCAGAGGATCCACTGTTACACTCAGCTCCTCCGACCTTCCCACTGATCGGCGCCATTGCCGAACGGACCCCAGCAGTTCCACCAAACCTGCTGGCACCTTGGCCTCGCTGATGGACTTGATCAATCCTGTCCTTTCACCCGAACCACCAGGTTGAAAGGTGGTAAGCAATCGGAACAGAATCCCGACCGTCGAGAGACGCCGCGATGCTATGACGTCCTGTCGCAAACCTTCTGGCAAAGCAGCTAGCAACATGGATACTGACCGCTGTTCCAGTCTTGCGTAGCCTTCACCGATCACTGGTGATCCTGGTTTCATGCGCAGCTTCTCCAGCGGCGTGGCAACCAGCCACTGCTGATAGTGGTGTTCCACAGTTTTCACTGTCAGACTCCACCATTCTCCAGCACTTCCAGAAAGATCACTCATCAGTGGATGCACCACAGTCATCCAATCCCCGAACTGGATGGACGCACCTTCACTTCCCGGTGTGGGAAGCTTTGGTAGCTCCAGGGCCCTCAAAGCCTCAGTCAGAGATGGTCCCGGCTGAGCTAGCCCAGCTTGATTCCTTCTTTGGAATCCCGGATCAATCCCTGGAGGTGGGGACGGCATTCCACCGACTCCTCCCAACGGCTGAGAAGTTCCCAAGGCCTGGCCAACCACGGCCTGTCCCTGTCCAGCTCCACTGGATGCTGACTGGTACGATTGGGTTTCCTCGGTCTGACCTTGAAGCCTTCTCACCTCCTTGGCGAAAGCTTCCTCTGCCTCCCGCATCACCCGCTTTCTGATCTCCTCAACTGCCATCGCAGCTGGGTCCATCATCATCTGAGTCCCTCCCGATGGATCTGTTCCAACAGGAGCTGGGTTCCCCCCTCCAGCCAATGCCTGCATGGGAACCGGGCTCACCATTTGCATGGGAACCGGGCTCACCATGGAAGCCAGTGCCAGGGCATTTGGGTATTTCATTTGCATTTGGTGCTTTCACTGTGGCCCTGGCATGCCAAAAGCTCCTATTATTACGGTGCTACTTAAGGCCATCAGGAAGTTATCAGCCGTATGGAAAGTTCCAGCCGAGATGCCCTTGCAAATGCCTGGGTCTTCATTTCAAGTGGTGCAAGTATTTAATGCCATCAGAGGTTATCAGCCGTATGGAAAGTCCTAGCCAAGATGCCCTTGCAAGCCTTGCCATCAAGGTGCAGTTATCATTTTTTTAACTCAGGTTGACTACTACCATTTAGACATTAAATATCTTGAGCCTATAGGAACATTATATATTATATATTTTATATTATATATAATTATATATTATATATTAGTTCTGCCTCATGATTTCTGTCACCTGTCACCTGTCATATAGCCTCGTGATTTCAATCTCTGTCACCTGTCAAGTATCCGTTCCCTGTCCCCTGAGCTGTCAGTTTCCCGTAGACGATTTTTTTCGTTTTCGCAGAAAACTGTGACAGAAGACTGTGACACCCAAGGTTTGCACCTGAGAACAAGCAAGGCGCAAAAAATTCCACTAGACAGGAGACAGTTGGCTGAGAAGAAGACTGTCAGATGTAGCCCGAAACCTGCGCAAGAAAATGGTTCATCATCGAAGGAACAAAAAACAACATGACACTAGGAGCTGTGAGGTTTACAGCAACTTTATTTCCAACTAGGAGCTCCAAGAAAATGCTGCTGCAGCTTTACACTTTGTTTCCAGCAACTCACTGCAAGTCTTGCTCCACTTCAATGCCATTCTGTCGCATGACGACACATTCTGCATCATCTTCGACATCTGCTGCATCATGATGTGAACCATCTGTTTGAACAATGCGGATTGGTCGCGGAGCGGTCTGCCGAAAAGGGTTCAGGTTGACAGGGACAGGTGACTGTGACTGATATGCACTTTGCTGCAAAAATGAATACTGCGCTGGATGCGGTTCTCGTCTCAATGTCCCAGTGATCCATCCAGTCAAGAAGGCGTGGGCCTTCTGGCTGATAGCTTGCCTCAGTCAACTGTCAGTTCTCTCTAAAAAAATCTGTCAACTGTCAACTGTCAGTTATTCTTTTTGTGACAAAGAAAAAAAACAAGACAAAACAAGTTCAAGATGCTTTGCAAATGCAGCATCTGCCTTCACTTTCACTTCATTGCGAATCTTCCAAGCTACATGCCTCCGAGGGTGCTCTCCAGAAGGCTGCCATGTGAGCCGTGAAATAAGCCCTGGCAAGGACTCTGCTCGGATTGCCACCTCTGCTTGAAAGGGCTTTGGTGAAGACTCAAACATATGACATAACAGCAGAATGTCTTCTGGATGGCCTGGGGCAAATTCATATTGAAGGCTGTCTAAGTCTTTCATTGACAGCATTTTTCGCTTCAAGATCCTGAAGAGGTGTGGAGCCTTGGGGCCTGTCAGGCCAGTCAGGGTGACTGGTATCTCTTCCAGCCACTTGTCCCACTCTGGGCTTGAATCGTGCTTCCATGCTTTCCGGAAGTAGCAAGATGTTTCCAATGAAGCATCATCTAAAAAACGTTGATACACCTCGACCAATTCCTGGGCCGTCTCAAAAGTTTCATGACTGCATCTTGTCACTGCCTGGCCACCCACTGCGTCCAAGCATGTGTGGGTGTGCCCTTTTATCGGAAAACCGATATTGCAAGTGTCAATGACACCCAGTGCAGTCAATTTCAACCAGAAGCGAAGCATCTTTGAGTTTTTGTTGTCCCGAGCGGTGTTGTCTAATAACAGAAATACCTGTCGGGGTATCCCTGTGATGTCATGCACCCACGACAAACACCTCGCCAGTGCATCCACATGGTTGCAGGTGTCTTTGCAAACATCGGAGTCTCCCACTGACAGGCTGAAGCCATGACCATGAACCCAAATAAGTTGTACATGGCAAGCTGGGCGAATAAGTTCATCAAATGTTTTGGACTTGACATGAGCCCTGGGAACTTTATGTTTGGCTTGGTCCAAGCCGTCTGACCTGATGACAAGGACAGATGACGGATGACTTCGAACATTGGATGAGACACTCAATGCTCTTGTTTCAAAAGCCAATGCTGTCCATGCACTGTCAGCAGCTCTGTCACGCCAGTTCTGCAAGAGGTGCTCCGCGTATTCCTGGATGAGTCTGTTCCGCAAATGAAGGGCCTTCACCCTTTTCAGCTCACGTTTGAACCAAGCGCATTGGTCACAAACTGCATGTTGCCCTGAGGATTTTCGAAAAGCCAAAAACTGTTTGGATCCTTGAAGCGCACGTCGGAAAGTGGTAAAAGATGGTGCTTTCTTTCCGGCATAATTCTCCTTGTGCCACCGTAACATCATCTCAAACAAGATCTGGGGCTTCACCACGCCAAGCCATCTGCGCGGGGCTGCTCCAGCTCCTGGGCCTGTCAGTGAATTGTTGAAAGGGGTGTCTGTGAGTAGCTGCCTGAGAGACAAAGTTGCCAGCTTCCGTGCATCCTGCTCATCCCATTGAGCCTGTGACATGCTTGAAGCTGAATCCGAAGATCCATAAACTTGGCCGAAGATCCACTCTTCTCGCTCAGCTGTTTCAATGAGATTCTCTTTGTCTTCGTGGGCTGCTGCTTGATCAGTCGCCAACGCAGCCACGTCTGGAAGCATGGTGACATTCCAAGCCATAGGCCATTGCTTGATGCACATCTTGATCTGTCCGTCAAGGGCCTAGATTCAAATAACTCAGAGATTCTACAAGTCCAATGGATACAAAGAACAAACCTTGATGCGAGCAAGTGGCATCACCTTTGAGCACTGCATCCTTGACATTCTCAAAGTCAGTGGACTTCAGGTCAGCGGAGCAGCAGTCTGCAATGCCACGGGTCCATGATGTAACAACAAAGCAGTAGGTCCACAACTGATCAACAGTGACCTTGGAAGATCCATCGTGGTTGGAAAGGGTGTCCTCCTGGATGCTAATGATCTTGTCCATGATCAGGTTGTGATCTTCTGGTGATAATTCTCCACCAAACTCCAACTGCTTTGACCTTGGATGATTTTGGAATGAACAACAATATATGAAAGTGAATAATCACTACCAACAAATGAATAAATAAACGCTATATATATATATTAAATATAAATATTTAAAAATGTATATATATATAAACACATGTATATACATATATATATACATTTATATATATATATTATATATATATACACACTATATTAGATATACATATATAAAACTATTTTTTGAGTAAAAGCGCATCAGCCGGGGGGGCACCAACTTGGCGGCAGCAGCGGCGCCTGCTCTGCGAGCATACTCTTCCGCTTCGGATGGGAACATTCCATCAGCTGGCATTGATGTTGGCCACAAATGTTTCCAGGACAATACAGACTCATTGACAGATGACTCCGAGAAGAATGACAGATGACACTGCAAAGCACGATAGCTTTCGAACGTGCAGTAATTCAACATATGCTTGATTGCAGTCTGCTTTGCGGTGCCGATCTTGATCTCACGATCCTTCACAGCCAACTCTGCGTTTGAGTCTTGCTTTCCACTGTCCTGTGTCCTCTTGACACGTCGTCTCTTCACGGCCTTTGAAAACTTGAAGCTGAAAACTTGAAGCTGAAAACTTGAAGACTGATAGTAATTTTCCTTTTGGTTTGGGATTTTTACTGGTGACTTTTTGTCCTGTTTTTGGAACCCTTTTTGGGCACAAAAAGTCGCCCTTCTTAACCCCTTTCGCGCAGCCAAACCAAATTACAAAAAACTGAGATGACTTTTCTGAAAAAACAAGAAGAAAGTAAAGCAGCTGAATGCTCTTCAAGGCACCTGTTTCTGTCCAACTACAATGCCCTCAGCATTCACCTTGCTGTCGAAGCCACACAGCAAGCTCTCGAAAGTTTTTACCAACCGCTTGCCAACCTCCTTTCTGGCCAAACGGTTCTCAAAACTCAGCAGCTGCTGGACATCCCCATCAGGGTATGCAGCGACAAGCACCAAGTCACACCATTGAATGCAGCTCAGAGGTTTGATCATACTGCCTTTGACATTCTGGCGGAATGCCTGCTGAATCAAAGAATCATTGGTGGATGCCGTGCCTTCCCATAGGGTGGGAACCTTCAAGAGGGTCTTGAAAATCTGCAAGGCTGTGTGATCCGTGCCCAGCTTTCCCTGCTCAATTTCAGATCTCATCAGACACCACCTCAGGTCAAAGTGACATTACAACAAACATACATGAAGCCTAGTGGCACAAGTTTGCAAGCCAATGCTCGTTTGACTCCATCACCAAGCCGACAAGACCCCAATTCTCCAAGGCTGGATGGCAAATCCCTTGAGACAATGGTTTCTTCTGCCCTGAACCCTGAAGTGATGATTGAGTTGGCGGTGCCGATGATGTTGGCTGCTTCACAGCTTGAGCCACTCCTGATTGCTAGATGCACACATGACTGTCATATTGTCATCTGTCATATTGTCAAAACTTCACACTGACATATTGTCATCTGTCCATGACTGTCTGAAGATTATCTGCAGCTGTGAAGCCATAAGGATGATGCGTCCCATCGAAACATGTGCGGCATGGAACTAGACACCATGCCCTCCGAACAGCTTTTCAAAGTGTGGTCCACTGACTCGCTTGCAAACTGAGATGCTGCTTCATCATCCTGAGATGTGCGAATAATTCACACCAAAACTCACACTGACTGACTGACTTTAAGGCGCATGAAAGCCTACATGTCTCCAAGAATCTTCCCCACTCAAAGCCTTGAACATGCTGGCAATCTCTGCCTTCACGTCCTCAACCGCACTTGGCAAAGTCAAGCCTGCGATCTTCGTAGCCAAGAGCTCCCTGGTGGTCGTGCACTCCTGTGCAGGGAAGCACTTGAAAGTGAAATTGAAGTTGAAATAAACTTGAAACATGGTAGGGCAGCACTCCTGGTACAAGACTTTCACATGGTTGTGCAAGGAGACTTGCCACAATTCAGGGGCCACCACAAACTCATTCGTGATGGCCGACATGGCGATGGACAAATCAATTGTGAAATTTTCAGTGACAATGACACTGACAGGTGACCGTCTTGAGAGGTGGTGGCAATGGCAATTAGTGACATGACATGTCAGATCTTGACAAATGACAGTTGATACTTCATACCACTGAGGGCACCCACTGCAGGCTTGCTCGTTCGACCTGAGTTCACAGGGCTGTGGCAACTAGTTGCAACCTGTCTATTTCTGGGAATCTGAAGTTAACCTGAAAAATAGACAGGTAACTCTGAGTTGCCGGTGGTCTGGAGGGTTACATCAATTCATTTTCAGGCATGTTATCCCCAAAATAAATTGACTTGACCCCCAACCTGAGTTCACAAGGCTGTTGCAACTAGTTGCAACCTGTCTATTTCTGGGAATCTGAAGTTAACCTGAAAAATAGACAGGTAACTCTGAGTTGCCGGTGGTCTGGAGGGTTACATCAATTCATTTTCAGGCATGTTATCTCCAAAATAAATTGACTTGACCCCCAACCTGAGTTCACAAGGCTGCTGCAACCTGTCTATTTCTGGGAATCTGAAGTTAACCTGAAAAATAGACAGGCAACTCTGAGTTTCCGGTGGTCATGGAGGGTTACATCAATTCATTTTCAGGCATGTTATCTCAAAAATATATTGACTTGACCCCCCATGACACCAGGCAACTCTGAGTTGCCTGTCTAAATCTTTGGATGACAGCCCAACCCCAAAAATAGACAGGTTGCCTGGACCTTGCCCAAATATATACTACATGTCTGAGGCAACTCCCAGTTGCCGGGATCTGGAAACTTTCACTTTGAAACAAGCTTCATTTCTGAGGCAACTCCCAGTTACCGAGGATCTGGGACAGACACACACACACACACACTCCAAAACATGCCCATTTCTGAGGCAACTCCCAGTTGCCGAGGATCTGGGACACAAAACATGCCCATTTCTGAGGCAACTCCCAGTTGCCGAGGATCTGGGACACAAAACATGCCCATATCTTAGGCAACTCCCAGTTACCGAGGATCTGGGACACAAAACATGCCCATTTCTTAGGCAACTCCCAGTTACCGAGGATCTGGGATTTGGGAAAACCAAGGAGTAACCGAGGATCTGGGATTTGGGGTAACCGAGGATCTGGGATTTGAGGGGATCTGGGACACAAAACATGCCCATATCTTAGGCAACTCCCAGTTACCGAGGATCTGGGACACAAAACATGCCCATAGTTACCGAGGATCTGGGATCTGGGAAAACCAAGGAGTAACCGAGGATCTGGGATTTGGGGTAACCGAGGATCTGGGATTTGAGGGGATCTGGGACACAAAACATGCCCATATCTTAGGCAACTCCCAGTTACCGAGGATCTGGGACACAAAACATGCCCATAGTTACCGAGGATCTGGGATCTGGGAAAACCAAGGAGTAACCGAGGATCTGGGATTTGGGGTAACCGAGGATCTGGGATTTTTTTTTTTTTTTTCTTTGGAGGGGATCTGGACACAAAACATGCCTATCTTAGGCAAAAACTCCCGTTTACCGAGGATCTGGGATTTGGAGTAACCGAGGATCTGGGATTTGGGAAAACCGAGGAGTAACCGAGGATCTGGGACACAAAACATGCCCATAGTTACCGAGGATCTGGGATTTGAGAAAACCGAGGAGTAACCGAGGATCTGGGATTTGGGAAAACCGAGGAGTAACCGAGGATCTGGGACACAAAACATGCCCATAGTTACCGAGGATCTGGGATTTGGAAAAACCGAGGAGTAACCGAGGATCTGGGATTTGGGAAAACCGAGGAGTAACCGAGGATCTGGGATTTGGGGTAACCGAGGATGTGGGATTTGGGGTAACCGAGGATCTGGGATTTGGGCTAACCGAGGATCTGGGTTTTGGGGCAACCGAGGACTTGGGATTTTGACACACACTTCAACTTCAAACATGCCCATTCCTGAGGCAACTCCCAGTTACCGAGGATCTGGGATTTGGGGCAACCAAGGATCTGGGATTTGGGGTAACCGAGGATCTGGGATTTGGGGTAATCGAGGATCGGGGATTTGGGTCAACCGAGGATCTGGGATTTGGGCCAACCGAAGATCTGGGATTTGGGAGCAACCGTAGTTGTCAAAGATCTCTTGAAGAATTAATGTTCTGCAACACTTTGTCTCCAAGATCTCTAGTTTTTCAAATATTGGCATTTATGTTGTTTGAGAACTAGTGCTGCAGAACATTACTTCCCAGTCAGTTACACGACAAGTGACTTAAACGACAAGTAACTTAAACTTTCAAAGTTTGACACCTGTCATGCCAAGAACTTTCTCAATAATCAGCAGCCAGGTTCAGGAACAGGCAGTACTGAACAAGCTAAGTGATTCCCTCAGAAGTCAGTGCCAGAAAATTGGGGTAATAGTTTAAAAGTGAAGCTGTTACTAACCCATCTTTCAATTGGTAGTAAAAGACACAAAATCATAGGACTGGATGGTTTTTCAACACCCATCACTGAAGGTCTCGACACAGAGTAAAGTTGTGTATGTAAATATATGTATGTATACAATATCTAGATTCAATGACGTGGGGCTTCCCAAGGATGACTTGGGACTCATGCGTCTGGACATATTGTATAATCATCCAACCCCTTCTGCAACGCGCTTTGTAAGAATCCCATTTCACTATCTATCTCTCTATCTATCTATCTATCTATCTGTTTGGCTATCTATCTATCTATCTACCTACCTATCTATCTATCCATCTATCTATCTATCTATCTATCTATTTAGCTCCTTTAAAATCTAAAAGTTACATCAAATTTGGGCATTTTCATTGCCAATCTATCTATCTACCTATCTGTCTATCTATCTACCTATCTGTCTCTCTATCAATGTAATACCTTTCTTTCTATTGATCTATCTTTCAATCTATTTATCTAATATCGTGCTTTCTTCCTTCCTTTCATTCTTCCTTCCTTTATTTTCTTCTTTCTTGCTGTCTATCTATCTATCGTTGTAAATTTCCTCTTGGTTTGGGTTTTGCAAAAAAAACTCAAGTCTGTGAGAACCGATTTCTTTCTTGTGTTTGGGCTTCCAACTTTGGCACTCCCAAGGCAATTTGGACAACTCTTTGCAGTTGAAATCTATATATTTTTGTATGACAGCAATAGGTCCGCAATGTTTCTATGGTTTGACTTCCGTTTGTATGGTTTGTCTTTCTCACTCCCAGGAATTACCCAGCAGTTTTTGGACTACCACCCAAGGTCCCCAGTGCAGCTACAGGTCAATCATTTGAATCACAAGATCTGGCTCAGACTTGTTTTCAAAGCCCGCGCAAATGCAAATGTCAATTGTCAAACATAACTACCTGCAACTTCATTGTCTGGTTGTCCCTCGTGATCACTCCGAACTTGAACTCATCTGGGAACAACGGGGTGATCACCGTCAGCCTTCCCTGAGCCTGGTCTTCGAAAACCCCTGTGCCCAATGCCAATCGCATCCGTTCCGCGAAAGCAGCGTCTGAGCTCAGTGGTGTGATCCTGAAACAAGACTCAAAGTGCATCAAATTTTTGTTGGAACTTAGACTCAAACATCTACAAAGTTTGAATTTAATTTCAACTCAGGCTCGTCTCCAACTGCACATCCTCAGGTTTGAAGGAAGGAAACCACTGGTTCATCTCATCACTGCTCATCAATGGACTCTTCCACATCTTCATGAATGGCTTCTGTGACCGCGACATTGGGTGCGACATTGGGACAGATGACAGGTGACAGATGACAGGTGACAAATGGCCTATATAGATCTTCTCAATGGCTGCGTGGCAAATTCAAATGCAACATCCAAAAACATTCATAAACAAAACATCCAACATCTCAAACATCCAAAACATCAAATGACAGTGACAAACTTGGCATCGGAATCAAAGCTGCTGGGTCACGTGACCATAATGCATTAACCTAAGTTCAGAGCAGGCCACTGACACAAAACAGATTCAGAATGGTCATGGGAAGGTTGAAACTGCATGAATTTGACTTGTAATTTTCTTCTTGGGGGGGGATGGCACTTTTTTCCCATGAGGGGGATGTTAAATTTAAAAGGGCATCCTCTCTGGGCATTGCTGAGCCAGCTACGTCGCATGAGGATGGCTGATTCTCCTGTGAAGCCATCCTAGCAGTGGCTTGGCCAACAAATATGGTGAAGTGATGGCATCACTGTCTATCATTTTTTGTGGCATGGTGACATGAATTCATAAAAACAAATGCTTTGCTGAAGTAACATTCTGTGGTATCGTTTTGTTTCTTATTGTAAATGCCCACAGCTGCATCCCCTCAGACTGAAATGACAATCACTTCCTTTTTCCAAATGGTGCTCTTGGGCGCTGGCCTTGCCCAAAGAAGTCTGCATCACCAATGGCAGGGCCAACATAGCAGGCCAAAAAGCAGGAGTCAGGAGATGGCTTTCCTTTTAAACATTTTAGGTTACAGTGAGTGGCTTTCCACTGACATAGAATATAGGTTGGCTGTCAGTGGGACGCACTAGTGGATGACAGGTGACAGGTGAGTTTCTAATGTAACAAGTTGTGGCAGTAAGTGACAGGCGACTTTCCATTAGTATCATGTGGACTAACATTGACTGATGGTTTGCCATTAAGAAGTAGTAGGTGCAAAAGGTAGCAGGTGAAGCAATTACAGGTGATAATTGGAACAGTTTGAAGTGACTTTCCATGATTAAAGTTTTCCTGAAACCATTGTATTTGTTTCAAATGCTGCATCAAAAAGAACTATCAAGAGACTTGTTGAATTTCACAACAAACTATCTTAATGCATCATTTGCCTTCTGGCCAATATAAAATATGACAAGTTGACAGGTAAACCACGTGCTTGACTTTGAGTTTGTGAAGTTCATGCCACATGTTGAAAGTCTGATGTTAAAAAAGGGAGGAAGATGTGTGGGCAAAAAACAGAAGCATGTGTGAATGCAAGTGTGAATTTGCTAGGTTGCGCATACATGTCCATTGTACCGGAAATCAAATTCAATACCTTCATGTCACTTCCTACTTCTTCTTGTGGCTGTTTTGGGGTATGGAGACTTAAAAACAGACACATATAAATATATATTTGCATATTCAGCATTGATATCTATATATATATATATATGTATATTTATATTTTCATATAAATATAATATATCATATATATATTTATATATATTATAAATTATATCATATATATATATACATATATATATACTTATTTTATATCATGTATATACATATATATTATACATATTTATATTATTATATTTACATAAATATAACTATTTTTCCATATATATATACATATATTTATATATTTATTTTTTTTAATATGTATAACTATATATTGTGTGTACTGACAGGGAAACAATAGGTGGTAGGTGACTTGGTATAATACTTGTGTGTGGGGAATGCCAGAACTATTTACGTTGCCATACACATTTGTTAGGTAGTAAGTACATTCAAAAGCCTCTATATTGTAGATATCTTTTGCATAGTCCTTGTGTAGAGCTTACCATCCATGGTAGAAATCTTTACATGGTCCTTGCACAAAGCTTGCCATCTTACCATCCAATCCATGGTAGAGTTCTTTTTTTTTACCAGAGTCCTTGCATAGAGCAAATCCATTGTAGAGATCTTTTGCATAGTCCTTGTGTAGAGCTTACCATCCATGGTAGAAATCTTTACATGGTCCTTGCACAAAGCTTGCCATCTTACCATCCAATCCATGGTAGAGTTCTTTTTTTTTAACCAGAGTCCTTGCATAGAGCAAATCCATTGTAGAGATCTTTTGCAGAATCCTTGCATAGAGCTTTCCATACGTCACTTTAACCTCTGATGGCATTAAATACTTGCACCACTTGAAATGAAGACCCAGTCTGGTATTTGCAAGGGCATCTCGGCTGGAACTTTCCATACGGCTGATAACTTCTTGATGGCCGAAGTAGCACCGTAATATAGGAGCTTTTGGCATGCCAGGGCCACAGTGAAAGCACCAAATGCAAATGAAATACCCAAATGCCCTGGCACTGGCTTATGGGTACTGACTGCAGGTCTCGAGGTTCTCGGACTGGAGTCACCATCACTCCTAATCCCTGAGCTGGTTGGCTACCTGAAGGATGAAGCACTGGCGGGTGTGGACTCGCGGCTGATCCCATCTGTTGCTGCTGCGGCAGCTGAAAAGCTACCAACGGCGGCAAAGGCTCAGCCAAAGGTCCCAACATAGCACCGCCCACATGCCCTCCACTCGGACAGCCACCACCTTGGTCATTGATCCCCTGACCACTGCGTTGATGTAGTTCAGCATGAAGACCTTGTAGAGGAAGGACACCAGGAGGACCACCTTGAGGTACACAAGAACGGACTTGAGCTCCAGGAAAAAGTGTCCCCAAAGCTTGCAGTTGGTTACCCACCGCACCAGCCACATCTTGCGCCACACCCCGAAGAAGCGGTCCTACCACCATTGTCGATCTCCCACCACCAGGCAATCCCTGCTGAGCTGCCACCGGAGGAGCTTCAGGCCCTAAAGCTTGTGGCAAACCAGCAGGCCTCGCCACCTCACCTTCTCGACCTTGAGCTCGTCCATCTCCCTCTGCTCCAGCCTGAATTTCCAACCTCCGCACACCACCTTCCATCCTCCTAGGAGCAGACAGAGCTCTTCTTCTCTCTCCCTCCTCTTGAGTCTGGGCGATCATGCGGTCCAAGGCTTCATCGGCTGACTCACCACTCATCCCTCCACGTCGACACTGCAGCAATGACATGGCCACGCAGCAGAGCGCCTCTTTGGGCTCGTAACCTTTGGGGGTTAAAAGTGGTCACCTGCAGCACCCCATAGGCTGCAGCACGGATTTTTCTTGAGCCATCAGAAGTAGCGGAGCGTTTAGCCATGTACATGTCATCCTTAGTGCAGGGGCCATGCTTGTAAAAACGAAGCTCACCCTTCTACACCTTGGACCTTGGCATACCAGCAACTGTACATCCTAGAGGTTAGAGTGTTCCATGAATCACAGATACAATATGATGCAATGATATATATATATAAATAATGGTTTCTCCTCTGGCAATTGTCAATATTGACCATGCTAAGGGACTCTTAGCATCTACTACCCAGTTATCTGGATGATCTGGATGACATCCTTGTCACGCACACCAGCTTTGAGGCCATTTTTTCACCGATTTTCAGCTCCTCATGAAGGAAACGGTCACATCTTCGATGGAAAAGCTATGGTTTCCAGCCGATGTTGCATCCCAAACACTGTAATAGATTAGATTTCCCGTAGTTTACATGCCAAATCATAACACAAAAAGATATCATAGTTTTAAATTCGAATCATTCACCTCCTAAGGTCGGGCGTAAAACCACGATTCACCTTATCAATAAATCAATTATCACGACCAAGCTTTGATAGCGTGCCAAAAAAATCGTATTTTTAGCTGGTGAGTACATCTCCCCATCACATCCGCACCCAGCCAGTTGCCGAAAATGGTGACCAGTGACTTTACTAACACGAAGAAGGAATTCACCATCAACATCCTGTTAAAGTAGCCTTCAAAAAACTAGATCACCTTTTTTACCTATCCCCTCAAAATCGCCGATCCTCAGTTTTTATGCCCATGATATCCCAGTACCCATGATATTTCCCCATGATATTTCCCCATAAACATATATAAAAATGGGGTTTTGTTCCCCAAGTCACCATCGTTTTCAATACACTTCAATGGCCTAATTCGGATGGGGGTACCCCCATTTTACAGTAGGAATCCTCCGAATCGCATGACGTCACCAGCATTGATGGAAAATTGCCCAAGCTACAAAGCTCCATGGCTAGGCCACTAGAGATTTTCCAATATTTTCCATGACATCACGTAGCAATGGACAATTGCATACAATTGTCCATGTCCTAAATTAGATCTATTCATTAAAAACATATCCATTTCCTGAATTAGATATATTCCACAGGATGGTGCCCCCCAGTTATAAGTCTATAAACCCCATTAACTGTAACTATAGTTAAGCTTTTTTAGGCAACTGAACGCTATCCAACGGGCCCCATCCTGCATTATATTCCCCATTCATTATCTGGTTGGTGGTTGACCTACCCTTCTGAAAAATATGAAAGTCAGTTGGGATGATGACATTCCCAATATATGGAAAAATAATCCAAATATTCCAGACATGTTTTATTTTCCATCTATTTGGAATAATAATCCCAACTGACTTTCATATTTTTCAGAGGGGTAGGTCAACCACCAACCAGTTATCCATTAAAACCATGAACGGTTCCACCCCCCCCAGCTCCAACGCTTCCGCGGCTGAGTTCCCGGACACCAACTCCGTAGCCGGGCCGTCGTCCCTGTGGGCGCCCCGTGGTATGCGAAGGGCGACTCTGCGAAGTGCTTGGCATAGCTCGGGCCCATTAGCTCCTAGGGGAAGCTGAAAATTTCAGAAAAAATCAGTTTTCATGGACTTTCATAGGAATTTCATGACATTTGAATGGGATTTATATAATTGGAGTCTTAATGGGATTTATTTCAATGGAATTCAATAAGATTCTTGGGGATTCAAAGAATTTTCACCGGATTTGATGGGATTTAATGACCCTACAAGGTGGTGTTCCAGGTCTGAGTTGGCTTAAGAGTAGATTTAAGTAGATTAACTGTTGAAATTATGGTGATTATAACCATAGATAGCCATAGGTAGATGGGGGTTGTTAACCAAACATAACGAAGGGTGGCAAACACATTGTATATATATATATATATATCAATTTGGTATATAACTTGCCAGACATGGGGATATGGATGGATAAATGTTGATAATCATGGCTAATCATTGACAATCATAGTGACAACCAATGGGCTGTGCCAAGAAACCACCAGAATTTTGTCAAGTCTCCAGGGAGCTATAAATCGGGGGCGAACATGATGAGTTTCATGGCTAAAAAAAGGGGCGAACGAGAAGAACCAACAAAGCTGGGGATTTTACCATGGTGCTTGATGGGGCTGGTATTTCAAAGATGGAGCTGGAAAGCCATGGATGATTTCTCGTGTCATGTTCAGAGGTCTCCCAAACATTTCTTTCATCTTGGCTACCGCTTCAAGATGGGGCTATACCATCTGGTTATGAAATGTTATGACATTCACAGTTCGCCATGGAAAATCACCATGCTATTAATAGGTAAACCATCTATTTCGATTAGGGCCATCTATACCATGGCGAACTGCTAGTCATAACCAGAGGGTAATATGCAATGTGAAGTTATGACCCGGCGAGGACTTTGTTGTCACCCTCTTGTTTTCAAGGATTCGATCGAAGCTCAATGGCATACGTTGGCCTGGGGCCAAAACATGGCAAATCTATCTTTGGCAATGGAAACTCATTAAATATACTTATTAAATATACTCATTGAATAATCAAATCTATCCATCCTAGATTGTTTACTCTTTAAATATACTAGAGACTTTTCTGATGACTCATGGCCAGGTTACGTTCTCAATCCCTCATGAATGGCAATACTTCTACCTTTCCTACGGTTGACGCTTGAATACCACTTGTAGGTCAGGTTTTCACCGATTTCCTGTCAGGGCTCTGCAGGGTGTGTTCCAACGGATCTTGGCAAATTCTGATACGTTGCCAAAGATTTAACTGGTTGGTGGTTTTAACCATCTTGAAAAATATGAGTTCGTCAATGGGAAGGATTGTCCCATATATGAAATGGAAAATTCTAAACATGTTTGAAACCAGCAACCAGTTAAGTCTTCGGAGGCGTCATTGCGATGTCTCATTTTTTTTAAATCCGGTCTTATCAGAGAGATTTTTTGGTGGTGGTTTCTCCATCCCCGGAACCGTCGTGGACCTTGATCGGATCATGCAAACCTTGACGTAAATGCGACAGCCGCCGATAGCAGCGCCACTCCTGGGAACCAGAATCCAACCGCGGGAAATTGAACGGGTACTTTCCCAAAACAGGGGGTGGTTCATGTCCCAATTAAACATCACCGAACTGGGGATATAATCTTCCAACAGATACTTAGATACTTGAAGGTGATGTGAGATGATGTGAAACCAATCCCCCAAAGAAGACATTTGCATACATTTGCCAACCCCTGGACGACAACTGCCCGCACCGGAGTGTTAGCTTTGAAGTTCCAAAAAAAACAATATATATATATATATTCTATGTTGGGCCTTTGTAGGGTTCATGTTGGGGGTATGTTTGGGGTATGTTGGGCTCATGTTGGCCCTATGTTGGGCCCTGTTGAGCCCGAGTTTGCAACTTAGCCGATTTCCCTTTAAAAGATTTTAAAAGTGGAAAAACAACATGATTCTAGAGTCTCTAGAGCAATAACCCCCCCCAAAGCCAAAGCTTAATAGCTATTGCATTTGCTTCCGGTTCATGCACACATTTCACAACGCCTCGGCACCGGTGGCGGCTTTTTAGACCCCAAAGATTTCACCTTTTAAGCAGTGGCCAAGCATCTGAGCGAGCGAATTCCATACATGGACCTCGGAGGTATCTGATGTGGCTAGGACCGCTAGGAAACAGATATTGAGATTTCAACCAAACATGTACGATTAGTACACCTCAAATGATCGGACTGGGGCCCAGCTATTAGGGCAGATTTTTTTTGGCACAACACATCCTGGTAGGGTAACTCATGGATTCCACAGGATTACCCCATCTCCAACAGCCATAGAAATCATAGAATGCCACAATTAAATATTTATGGGTTTTCTAGTATTTACGAGGAACTTAAGTCTTCCGCCTGTCTTTTTCAGGTATCATTGGGCTGGTTTAAAGATGTTTGGAATATCCACAGGAAAGCGCGGTTGTTACCTGTTTTTACTAGTATATAAATGTAGGGGTAAGACCTGCAATTCTTTCCTTTCTCCAATCCCGATTCGAGGAGACTAGTGACTAACCTCAACTTTCCCAGATTTGATGGTGAATCAACATGATCACCTTTAAACTTACCATTTTGGGAATCATCCTTGGTTTTGACTCTTCATCTATTTAGGTCGCCCAGATTAACCATCCAAGTCATTTTTTTGCTTGTACATCCCATCATATATCTCAATAGATTCTATACTCACAAAATATCTTCATGAAATATCCCTATAAAAGGGTTGGTTGTATACTATATACATCTAATATACCCACATTCACATACATTCGCCGCAAATCACCCTACCATCGAGCGGCGCCAGACAGCGCAGTCCATGACGTACCAAGTGTGAGATCCAAGTTCCTTTCTCGGCTTCTGGGTTTGGAGATCTGATCCCATCCCCGCTGAAAAACACCAGAAAAACATGGTTGTTTCTTGGGGATTGATATTACCATGGAGGCGCGTAATAAATGGAGGATGGGAGTCATCTTGGTAACTGGGATGACTAATAAGATATGCGACGGAACTTGGGATCTCACCAGTACAAAATTTGAAACGTTTGCGATTTTACACGATTTCATGATGCCTCCCTCTTTCATGGTATAGACCTACCCATCCTATGAATGCGGATGAATGGGCCATTCAGAAAGATCTTTCAGTTGGTAAGTATGCAAGCACCATGAAGGATCTGCGATGGTTTACTGAACAAAGTTCTTCGATCTGCATCCCATTTGGTCAAGGTATGCAACTCATGTATACATATATACAAGTTATATACATATACATATGTATACATGTATATATATACATACATATCGTGACTGAGGATCTTCCATGAATCTAAGTGGGTCATGATACGGTTCCACCCGCAAAAGCAATGCCCAGCATCCCGGCCTCATGTCCTCGAATGACGATCTCCAACATGGGCTGAGCCTCACGATGGCCCCGAGGTGGGCCCCCTTCAGCATGGCGATGCACCACGTTTTTTTACAGATACGCCAAAGATATCATACATATGAGAAGTATTGATATGTATTGATATTATGTATTGATAAGTACTGATATGTACACTGCCAAACAATAATAAACAATAATAAACAATCATAATCAATATCTGCAGTATCTACCTATCAACACTTATCACATCTAGTTTCATCCGATCCAACCGATTCTAGCAATCAACTACCTTATCACTTAAACTCAAACTAGGAGCACGGCCTTTAGAAAGCCGTGTTTTTTTTGTGATCAACGGTGTATCATGTATGATTTTTGATGTGCTCGTGCCAATAAGATTTTGCTTGATGTGATTTTTAAGGCCGTTAACCTCTTATTGTGGTGCATATTTTCAAAAACAGGCATTTCGCATAGATGAAACATGATGAAACTACCATTTTTGAGGTTTTTGAGAATTCCCAAACTAATTCGACCTGACATGTTTTTAAGGCCGTTAACCCCTTATTCTGTTGCATATTTTCAAAAACAAACATTTCGCCTAGACGAAACTACCATTTTTGGGGTTTGTGATAATTCTCAAAATATTCAACCTGACATGTTTTGATTCCTGTGTTGGTCACAGCAACGCTTCGAGTTCTTCCAAGAACCTTTGCGGATCTGGATTGTGTAAGGTACAACGCCAGCACCACATGAACACATATTGTGTCACTGACGGGTGCATCGTCGAATGCCCACGGTCTTTGTGTTTCAAAACCATGTGAGCTGGCAAGAAATCTTTCAAAGACTTCCAAGACCGGTCCAACGTTTGTGTGCCGGCAATGTTGGAAACACCACGAAACATCTTCGGTCCTTCAGATGTAAAATTCTTTACCTGATGAACTACACTTTGTACAGGGATACCACGGCGTTCTGCGGCAAACTTCGAAGCTCGGTTTCCATCAGGGCAAATGATGCTGGAACCGGTGATCCTGTCCAGGAAGCCACTTTTTTCCACTTGATCTGAGTTCTGAGTGATGGTCGTTCTGCAGGAGGCGTCACCTGTGAAGGCATGTGCTCAAATGTCCTTCCTCCGCAAGTTCGCATGAACGTTATTGTATGCCCCACCCCACCCCACCCACCCCACCCCACCCGTGCATACATGCACCTACCGGCAGCCACAGACAAGCATGTCCTTCCTCCGCAAGTTCACATGAACGTTATTACATGCCCCACCCCACCACACCCCACCCCACTCCACCGATGTGTACAAAACACCACGGCCTTCTAAAGGCCGTGGTCCAACTATCAATTAACCTACTTGTCCAATATCATATATCTATTTGGGATTGACCGAAAACGCTGTACCCCCAAAAACCCAAGGTGTAGAGCCTCATTTTCCACATTATTCCATGGCCACTCTTGGTGGTATACAGTATTACCCTATTCTCAGACACACTCATTTATCTTTTTATCTATCCATGTACAAATGGTTTTTGGCTCCAGAAGCCACCAAAATAGAATGCTGAACACAAAACGTGACCACTGTGGTTTCTTGGGTCTCAGGGATCAAAGCATTGTACACCAATTTTTTTGGGGGGTGAACGGTGAACAGCCATATTTCCCCAGCTATTTTGAACTTTTGGCGCTAAAACCAGGGGATTCCATGGGTTTCGACCCCCAAAAAACTTGACCTCGAACCACGCCTCTTCCTTCGCCCGTGCCAAGTGTGTAGGGCTCCACAGCGGGCCGCTCTCGGCCAGCAGTCCAAAGGCACCCAGGTAGGCCTCGGCGCGTCCATGGACTAGGGAATAAGGATTAAAATTATAGTAGCCATCACCAAAACAGTAGAATTTGGTATATTATGTATATGTATATGTATATGTATATAAAATATTATGCTGTATACATATATATTTATATGTCTATAATTGTACATATGTATATATATATATACACACATATATACACTATCAAAGCAATAGAATTTAGACTGAATTTGATACATTCGACCAAAACAATAGAGGTTGTTGTCCTGGCTCCTTAGGTCCCCCAAGATGACCGATACATACTCAGTGCAAGTAGCTTCACCCGTGGATATGGTGAAGATCCAAAAACTCTGGACTGAGCAACCCGGTCAGTTGACTACCAATGCCACACATCAACCAACATCATGTCTGTCTAATGCCCACATTCTTGTATGGTCAAACCAACCCGACTCTGGTTAATCCAGATCTATATTTGGAATTTTCTTGTGGATATCCAAGTTTTTGCACTGTTCAGTCCCTTGGAATTCCTATTTCACAGGCTTCAAAGTCCGCAAAATCACCATTCTTTCTTGCTCAAATCCAGATTTTTTCCCGCTTTCCGCTTCTAAGTGGTTGATCTGCACACTTCAGCAAAAATTCCAATAGTTCACTCAAAATGAGGTAAATAAGGCCATCTGAGATCATTTGAGGATGATTCCCCCTTCAAAAAACCATCATTTTTCTGCCCCTTTTTGGCCACCGAAAACGCCGCCACGGCTCCACACAGTCGGGCCCTCGCAGGACTTCGGAGGTGGCGTTTTGGAGAGCTTTCTCGGCCAGCGTGCAGCGGGCGGTGGCCTGGGAACTAACGGGAACGAACGGCCGCAACTTGAAACTGAATGACCCTAACAGTAAACCTAATATCATGGTAATTTTATTAATGGTTACTAGTTACTAATAGTTTATGGTAAGTTTTAACCTAAGTATGTTATATGGTATGTTATAATGAACCTAGCAATTGGAGGGTACCTAGCGTTATGTTTCGGGTATCATGTTAACAATATAGAAACTAATGGGAACCAATGTTATAGTATTTGATTATAGCAACTCATGTTAGAGACTGTTAGTGGAGTGGTTACTAGTGTTAGTGGTTATTCATGTTAGATGGTGAGTTAGAACCTAAGTTAGTACCATCTATATAGATGAAACTAACTATAGAACGAAGTCATGTTATTTAATTAGCTGTAGTTATAACTTATATGGTATAAATCTTGGATGGGTTCACAATCCACCGTTGGTTTCTGGAGCCATCTAAGTATAGTTGTTGATGATTCTCAATGGTTACTAATGGAATTTAAACAGCAATACATTTACCAATAGTTGGATGGTTACCAACCCTAGTAACCCAATTATCAAGCAGTTACAATATCATTGTTAATCCAGCTATCAACCATTTTCTAAACTAGATGATACCATACAAATATGCCTACCTTTTCAGGTTAGTCTTAAGGTCACCTATCTTTTCGTAGTATCATGGGTAGATCAAACGCATCCCCAATTGGGATTAACTGATAATTAGGGAATGGCTTGGATTGCAGGATATATGTTCGTGGGATCATGATATTACAAAACGATATGGTGGTAAGTAGGTAATGTATGGAAATGTCATGTGGTAAGATCATATTGTAGCTAATATGGTCATCTTATGCTAGTTATATTCGGGATGATGTAAGGATACTATGGGGTTTTAACAAACAAAAATTGGGGCTAATGTGATAAAATGTTATAAACACATTTCGCTAGTATTACTAATTATCTAATGACACTTGATGATCATTTTCAGCTACCACACATTTAAACAAACAAACGCATGGGATGAAAATCAACTGATGTTAAGACCAATGACCTTACGTACCTATCATACCTATCATACCCAACCTTGCCATGGTCTCATGATGAAGTCACCTTTCGGACCGCACAGCCCGGACAGCCAGACAGCCCCAAAATTTTCTGCTCCATGGCTGTGTCCCGAATCGTTTCTTTTTTCCCACAATTAAAAGATGTAGCAAAAGCATGGAAAAGCTGGATTTACTACTCATTTAGCAGGATCAATGACCCTTTGATGACCTTTGTACATCGTTTGGGTTCCTTTATGGCCCAGTTACCCAGTTTCTCAATGGGAATTTCCCGTTGGGGGTATATTTTTGGGGCATATCCCCTTACATAGCCCTTACATAGGCCTTATATATGGTAGGTACCTTCAATTTGGGTTCCTGAAATGGCCATCGATATTCTGTTTTAATGGGAAAATCCACTATAAATTGCCATTTTCAATAGCTATGTTTGTTTACCAGAGGGTATCCAGTTTCTGTCCATTGTCGATCCAAAACTGCAGGTATCAAACCCTAAAAACATCGCCTCAAGCTCCTCCTTGGCACTGGCAGACTGTGGCACCTGGATCCCCATGGAACTTCTCCCGTCAAATGAAGGGAGTCTCTTGAAAATATGATATATACCGATGATGTATATATAATATAATACAATACAATACAATATAATAGAATCTAATAAAAATAATATATGTATATATATATAATTATATAAATATAATTACATGTATATATATATATCGATGTAAAATGATGTATAATGATGTATGGTGTATAATGATGTGTAATATTGTAGATGATGTACTGTATAATGATGCATAGTGATGTATACTGGTCACATTTCCCCAAGTCTACCTAGGACGACGACTGTGTTCTAGGGATCAATCCAACACCCCCGGGGGATCAGAGAAAACTGCGCCTGCTCCATTTCGGAGAAACCAAGCTTCTTCTGCTTCGCAGAAAGCTCGGCCTCAAATCATGGCAGCCCACATCCCCGGGCTGAGCACCTTCAGATTTTTGGGCACTGTATGGCGCTGTATTCTTCAGGAGATGTTGGACTTCCAAGTATCTATGATGATTTATGGCATGGCACATACAAATTGAATCTTGGGCTTAAAACTATAAAAGAAGTTTCGACAAATTCTGAGATCTACAACATCTAACCCAAGACCTCCCAAAGAGGATGTGACACGATGAACCTTTATGTCATGGTTTCAGGTTGCTTCCAATGGTCCGTGTCCAGGGTACTGGAGAGCCATTCCGATAGCCATTGGATGGCGCCATGGGTCGTTCAGAGTTGGCACTCAGTGGGTGGTAGAAATGCTGTGCTACAGTAGGCTTGGAGGGTTTCCATTTTCACACCACCAAATTTGATTGAGAATTAGAAACACCAAGTGATACCAAGTGCATGTCAGAGCTGTTTTACATCTGTTTCAGAGGGCCTTCGCAATGTTCCAAACTTTCAACGATCGTAAAAACGCCCACTCCCCTGAGAATAAGTACGGTCACTCTTGCCCAGCTGGTGTCATCCCAGATTGAGAATAGGCTTTCCCAGTTCATGGCTAGATCCTCTTAGGCGCCTAAGGGCCCAATATCCTGCCGGTCTAGGTTTGTCGTGCGCACCATCTGAGTTTGTATTCAGCTTGAGCCAAAGACTCTAAGACCGATGACACAAGCTATTTCTGTGCCGAGATCCCGAGATGGGAGATGTCTTGGGAATAGTTGCTGTTACGCTGTTACTACTATCTTCTCTGCTGATAGTTTAGATCGCGTAAAATCCCTGCGTTTGTATGTTTATTTCTATGTATCTCCAAAACGCATGCCCTATGGGTTGAATGCCAGTTCTGCACTTCACTCTTCCGCATACCACCTGCACAATCTCAGCTTTCGGACAAACGATTGGAGTTTACCACCAGGCCAGATGTGGCGGCCTCAGAGGTGCACCAGACTAGTGATATTCTGGGGTAAAGTCATTGTCATTTTGTTGTGGAAAGGGAAGCATTGCAGGAGTTCATTGATTTTTGCTGCAGATATATGCAGTTTACTTATGTTTACTTTATCTTGAAATGCAACAACCTTTCTTGTTTAGTTCCCCCAGTGACTACACGAAAGGGTTTCATCATGTTTCATCATCATGTCCCGCACCTGGCGTGGATCAAACGCGTGTTTTGAAACGACCATGACACACCTGGAAAACGTGCCGCTGTTCGGAATTGCCTGTGTTTGATTCGCAAGTTGAAGGACTTAACCTAGTTTTGTTATGTTTTGGTAGAATATTGTGGTTCAAGAGTAGGAGAGCCCTAAAATCAGCACAAGTTGTCTATCTTCCTAAGATGGTGCAAAAAACCTCTTCCGGTATACCGCAATCTTTGCACCAATCCAAATCCATCCTGTTATTTTTACGGCAAAAAGGACAATCAAACACATCAAGTATTCAACACCACTGACCGGTCATCAGTGATAAAATCTGATTGTACCTAGATCAATAGTGACTATAAAACTGTGGCTGTTTAATCCCTTCCCCACGCAAGATACACCCCCACAGACCCCAAGGCACAGATCCCTGACACTCAACCAGTGCGCTGTCGAATTTGTCTATCGGCTTAATTACCAATAGTTAGTTTTGCTAGTTTGAATTAGAATTGTTACCAATTAGAGATTTCAATGACGTAGGTAAACATCCTAATTTTTCCACAAAAAAGGGAAGATGTTTTCAATATTTTTCACTGGTTGGTGGTATACCTACCCCTTTGAAAAATATGAGTTCGTCAGTTGGGATGATGAGATTCCCAATATATGGAAAAATAAAATTCATGTTCCAAACCACCAACCAGTCTACAATAGATACAACAGAAAGTGATGTGAACAAATCCTGGACATCAATCCCCAGCCCTGTGTAACATCCAGAAGCCTGGGATTCCCAACGTCTCTACGATCCATCCTGATGCGGCAACTCAAGGGGTCCTTGTTAAACAAAAAAACACGCGGTGGCTTGCAGGGTGGCGCAGAGCTTGGCTATTTTCAATGAATGACGAACGAATAACTAACAAATGCTGAGCACGAATCTCACCCAACTGCGGTTTTCCGCATCCTTTTTTTTCGAGCCGCGATCACACCGCAGGCGCCGACTCCATGTGCGTGGCACGTCGCACTGCGGCCACCGCGCGAGCGCTCACGCTTCGGACCTTGACCATTTTGACAGTTGATATATAGGGGTTTCCATCAATGGGAGATCCCCAAAATGGATTGTTTACAATGGAAAATCCATCTATAAATGGATGATTTGGGGGGTACCACCATTTTAGGAAACCTCCATATAGATTAGTATCAATAACCATTTTGGATTCAATGTTGACAGTACTTCAATGATATCAAGTTATGTCCTGTATACATCTGTAAAGATATGTAAAATTATGTAAAGTACAGACTATTTTAAAGGAAGCAGTAATAGAAACACCTAAAAAACAAGAGGGATTTAATAAGAAGTAGTGGAGATTCAACAAACAATGGGGTTTAAGCAAGAGTTGTGATTTGAAAGAACAGTAAGCAACAATTGGGATCTGGCCAAACAAAACGAAGGACTACAGTAATGAACAACGGATTCAATCAAATCCAGAAAGGCTTAGGGTTATCACAGCAGGGAACAGCAGGGATTTCACCAATGAAATAACCGCAATTTGATCAATCAAACTTGGGATTGAACAAAACACAATGGGAAGTGGAGCAGTCACAAAAAGGGTATTATGGGGGTTATGAATCAAAAACAATGCGACACAAACAATCGAGAAACGTGGGTTGAAATGACCGACAAATATGTCAACATTGATGGAGATGAGCCACTCATGACTACCTTGTCTAGCCGTTATAGGATAAAACCAGAACTTCAGCAGAAAATTCACTTGGAAACCAAAGCCAAGAATAACTATTTTTCTTGAGGTTTCAATAGTCATCTATGGTGCTCTTCTGAATCACCACGAAGATTGAAGCGAAGCTGATGGAACATGATGATCATCCAGAAAAACTCTGGATTTCGCCCAACATTTTCTGGAAAGAATGGCAGCCAGCTTGAAGAACATGATGAAGAGATGGGCTCTCCAAAGGTGTACACTGTATATCACTGTATACATCAGCTCAAAATGGTCGGCGAAAGGTCAGAGGAGTTGAGTTAAGGTCTGGTCTAGGGTCTTTCTCCGAAATGATCTCTGGCTGAATTGCAATCCTTCGAAACAATCTCTAAATAACTCCTTTTTGATCCACTTTGAGTAGAAAATCCCACTTCTGGAAAGAAATCACTACTAAAACTGTTAAACTACCCAACATCCCCAACATCCCCAACCAAACTCCGATGTTTTCCTGATTCAAACATCCATTTGGAGTCGATTTACCAGATAGCCATGTTTGGTTACCAAAGGGTATCTCCAATTTATGGCCATTTCATAAGGAATATGTCTAAATCATCGAAACAAAAAGGGCAGGGAATAAGGAGAACTCCACCAGCATGAATCCATCGACGATGCGCGGATCCCTTGAACCCGACCCCCAAAAAATCAGCGCTGCCAAGGAGCTCTTCTGGCCTGGGTCAGCGACCAGGATGAATTGGATTGCTACAACTTGTTTTTTAGATGTGCTGTAATTAGATATTGATATATAGATTTTCGTCAATAGATCACATCATAAATAGCAATATCGATCTTGTTTATTGGTTGTACTAACAAAGATCTTATTTAACTACATATGTATAATATAAAATATGTACATATAATAAAAATATAGTTCTATGTCTATATCTACTATTATTATGTATACATATTGAATTATATTGTATATGATATATTTTAAATGAAATGAGCAATATTAAATGCTAAGTATTATATATTATAAATTAAAGATTAAATATGATATATTGTATATAATAAATTATATATATATATTATATATTATATGTTATATTAAATACAATATATAATATATTAAATATAATATACTATATATATAATAAATAAAAAATAAAAAATATATTATATATAAAAATATTTAAAAAATAAGCAAATTATAAATTATATATTAAAAATATTCATTATATATATAAAAATCTTATATTATATTATATTATATATTTTATATTATTTATTAACTATATATATATAATACTACATATTATAAATCATTTCTTAGTACATAAATATATCTTATATCTTATATATTATATTATATATATTATCAAACATATTAAATATTAAATATTGAAAATTATATATTTTATATGATATATTTTGTAAAAATGCTATATATATATATATATATATGCATTTTTGTGATAATACATAGATAATATATATATATCTATAGTATTAAATTAAATTAAATACTAAATTAGAATAATTATATCAAGTTATATGCTTAATTAACTGGTACTATATGATATGATATCAAACTATATTGTAATACACTATCTATCAAATTATATGATATGATATGATAAATTTTAAAACTATATATTATCTTAAATCATATTTTTAAACTACATACAAGATCAAATCAAATATTATATTTTATATATCATATATTTAATTAGGCTATATTAAGCTACTATATGTAGTATTAAACAAATATATTTTAATATATTATATTTTGATATATTCTATTATCTTATAACAAAAGCATAACAAAATAGAAAGTAATATATTATAAGAGAATAAAAATAATATTATACAAAAAAAGAAAAGTAGAAAGTAATAAACACATATAATACACAATACTATTATATATTAACTATATATTTGTTTAAAATATCTATTATATAAAATATTCAATTATATTATATTACATATTAATTGATATAATATTTTTTATACTATTATATTAAATTGCATTATATATTATATTAAATATTAAATTATATGAGCTCTTGTTTTATCTGAAATATTATATGAAAAATAAAAAATATTACATGAAATAACATTTTCATTATACAATTTAATATTATGTTATAGAGTAAACTATTAAATGATATAATATAATCTGATTTAATATTGTATTTTGTTATATTACGTTATATTCTATTATATCATATCATATTACATATATATATAGTATTATATAGTCTCTTTAAAATTGTAGACGTCGAAACGATGCATTTGGTCAGCGCACAAGCCATCTGTCCCAGGTACCGCCAGTTGGTGCAAGGACAACTCTGCCGTGAGGTCGATGAACATCACAGCCTTGGTCCAGGCACTGTTCAGAAGGCCCTGCATTGCCAAAGTTCACAATGAAATCCGGTGAAATTCTGTGATTGTACC